ACAGCGCAGAGGCCCAGTATTTCGGGGGCATGTTCTACAGCGCGAAGGTGGCAGAGATCAAGGACCCGGGGGCCGCCAAAAGACGTTTTGGGACACCTTTGTGACCGGAAGTTTGGGAGACCCCCACTTGGTTTAGGGTTTAGGGTTTAGGGTTTAGGGTTTAGGGTTTAGGGTTTAGGGTTTAGGGTTTATTCACCATCGGGATGTGAGACGGCCGGCTAAGTCTATCAAGGAACGAAAGCAAGTGAGCCTGAACCCCAAGCCCTAAACCCCCTAGGGTTTTTTGCAGGGGCTCTTGAGTCACGTGTGCTAGACTACGTCTTCCCAAAAGCTGCCGGAAGTGTCTCTATGTAGAACTACCCCCATACGTCTCCCACCAGGCTGACCTAGTTGTTCGGTTTGTAACAACTTAGGGTTCCGGGTGTAGGGTTTAGGGTTTACGGTAAGATGGGCTGACGAATATGTGAGCTTCTTGGTGTCCGCGCATGCATGACGAAGACGTGAGCTGATTTGTGTCCGAGCACACGCATCCCTGTAGTGCGGCAACTTCCTGCAGAGAGAACTGGAAGGTGGTTGGCAGAACATCCCCGTCCGAAACCCTAAATCTTTGCACCCTAAACCCTAAACCCTAAACCCTAAACCCTAAACCCTAAACCCTAAACCCTAAACCCTAAACCCTAAACCTCAAAACAAGCATCACAAGCTGCACCGGCGCCTTCCAGGAGGTTGGGCTCCTGCCTCAGAGCAATGAAGCAGTTAGGGTTTGGGGTTTCGGGTTTAGGGTTCGGGTTTAGGGTTTAGGGTTTAGGGTTTAGGGTTTAGGGTTTAGGGTTTAGGGTTTAGGGATTAGGGTTTAGGGTTTAGGGTTTAGGGTTTAGGGATTAGGGTTTAGGGTTTAGGCTTTGGGCCGCGACGGCTCATTTTGCGTTCTGCCGGCTGCATCCGGCGAGGGTTAGCTCCGGGTTCACATTGAGCCTGCTTCTTCCACTTTTATGGTTTGCTTTTGCTGTTCTTGTGTTTCCGCGTCCCGACTCCGGTCCCAAAAACACGTTGCGCAACTGACAGCCCTCGAGAGAGGTCTAAGCCAAGGAAGTGGGTTCATCAAGCTTCGCTCTACTAGCCTGCCCCCTAAACCAAATCCCGACTGTTTTGCGCCTTCAGTAGGGTATGCCCCTAAACCCCAAACCCCAAACCCGAGTGGGTTCGGGCGCTAGGGGGTAGGTCGGGCCGCCTGTGGCACCGTCACTTGTCTCACCCAGACAAGACTCCGGTTGTAGTAGAAGTGTAAGCCGAACCTCGAACCCTAAACCCTAAGCCCTAAAGCCTTAACCCTAAACTCTAAACCCTAAACCCTAAACCCTGCACCCTAAACCCCAAACCCTAAAGCATGAAGCCTAAGCTCATGCTTTCGAGGGGCCTCACTATATTCGTGGTGGACTGGGACGATGGTGACGTGAGAGACAAGGAGCCCCAGGGAAGAGGAAGGCTGAAGGCCCAAAGCAGAAGTGAAGTTTAGGGTTTAGGGTTTAGGGTTTAGGGTTTAGGGTTTAGGGTTTAGGGTTTAGGGTTTAGGGTTTAGGGTTTAGGGTTTAGGGTTTAGGGTTTAGGGTTTAGGGTTTAGGGTTTAGGGTTTAGGGTCCGGGTTTAGGGTTTGCAAGGGCGCCCCCATCCTAAATCCTGAACCCTAAACACATTTCCTCAACTTGCGTCCTTGTAGAGGTAGATATTCTTTGGTACCAAGGAGCCTGGGCAAGGGGGGCTCGCCACAGAAGGTGTATTTTCCCAATAACTAAGGTACATCGCAGTTTTTTCAAGTGTACAAAGGTTTCTGGAAACTCTAAACCCTAATTTCCCAAATCGGTTCCGGGGGCGACCTCAGCCGCTGCGTTTTTTTTTTTTTTTTTGGGGTGGGGGGGGGGGCTTTCCACAGAGGCAAGAAATGCTACAACTACAAAAACGAAACATTTCAACGAATTTCCATATACATAAAACGAAAAAAGCAGTTGCCGCCAAAAACAGCCAATACAGAAAAAAACCCAAACAACCCAAAAACACCAATTTTCCAGGATGAATCGAAAAACCAATTTCCACAGAACCAAAAAAACCAATTCCCGCAAAACCAAAAAAACCAATTCCCACAAAACCAAAAAAACAATACAAAAAGAACCAAAAGAACAAAAAACACCAATTTTCCGGGACTCTGTGAAAGCTGTGGAGATGAGCATACAAATCAAAAGTCCCGGAAAATTGGTTGTTTTGGTTTTCTTGGTTCTTTTGGTATTGGTTTTTTGGTTCTTTGGGAATTGGTTTTTGGGGAGTGTTTTTTTGGTTTCGGTGTCCCAGTTCCCCCTATGAGCCATGCACTCACATCCAAACACATAATCTGGCAGGTCTTTTGGCTGCTTACTCGCATTACAGTTTGAACCTATCTTATACAGAAACATGTATATGAGATGCTACCCCCCCCCCCCCCCCCCCCCCGGCCCCCCTCCTAAACCTAGGTTTCGTACACTTTTTGTCGTAAGGATATGATACTTTGTTGCTTTGGATGAGTATCATGTAAGGCCTTATGTGCTTGTGAGTCTTGCGGATAATTTGAAAATGAGCATTGTTTTTGAGAAATGAGAACCATGTTGGGAGAGCTGTGGAAAGCATTGAAATGCAACAAAAAAGAGATTGTAGCAGCCTGTTGGAAGGTCTCAGGAAATAGTGAAAGGATATTTGCTCACAGTATTCTCGCGTCCCCGGGGGTTGCAATAAATGATTGTTTTTGCATCACCTTATGCGCTCGATAACTTCCTAGTCTTATGGTTCGAGGCTTACCATCCTTCCTTCTCCATTAAATATCTGTCTTTGATATGCAAAAACACATACACCCCAGATACATACATGATGTGTGTACTTATTCTGCTTTTTCTTTGCGTTTCCACAGGAGGCAAGCCCTACAAACGTAGGCATAACCCTATGGGATCCAAGGTGTGGGGATCTATGCCTCAAGCCCTACAGGGTGACAAGGTTCAATTCCTAAAGGGAGCGCTGAAAACTGAAACACGAGATCTTTTAATCCTATAGGGTTTCAGACTGACATACATACATACATACATACATGCGTAGTTGTTGTAGGGCTAACCCCGTGAAAGTTTTTAGAGGCAAACCCTTAAAACCCCTGGACCTGTCAACCCTATAAGGTGTAAAGGTTTAAACACCTGCCGAAGGTCTGGGCATGTATACAATAGCGCCTATAGGGTTAAAACCTTTGAACCCTTTAGAGCCTTATAGGGTTTCTCTATGGGCTTAGGTTTACATGCCTAAACCTTTAAATCTTGACCCTATAGGGTTTAAAAGGTTCGCCGAAATACGAACCTAAAGGGCTTAGGGTTAAGGTCTTAATGCCGAAATCTTAAACCCTTAAGGTTTAAACTTTATGGGCTTAGGTTTACATGCCTGAGTCTAAACCCTAAACCTTTAAATCTGCACCCTCTTGGGGTTAACAGGGGCGGGAAGTCGCTGCATGTAAAACCCCAAAAACGCAGCGGCTGACTTCGCCCCCCGAACCCCCAAATCCTACACTGGCATGTGCGGTGCGGGGTGGCAAAAGAACCTCCAATCCTAACCCTTAACCACAAAGGTTACGGCATGGGTAGGTAGTCGGTAAACCAAAAACCTACAAACCTTGAAGCCCAAGCCCTCAACCCTAAGCCCCAAACCCTAAACCCTAAACCCTAAAGGAGAAGCAGCGCGAACACCTTCGGCCTATTGGTGGTGGCGTGCCGCCACCCACCACGGACGTGGTCGGGCCGGGGAGCCCGCTGAGGGTCCCAGGGAGCCCCAGTGCCCCTGAAGGGTTTAGGGTTTAGGGTTTAGGGTTTAGGGTTTAGGGTTTAGGATTTAGGATTTAAGGCTAGGGTTGAGTTTTTGGAGTCTAGGGTTTTGGGATGAGGGTTTAGGGTTTTAGGGTTTAGGAGGGTTAGGGTTTACATGAAGTGGCTTCAGGGTCTAGGGAATCAGGGTTGCTGAAAGGGGCGTAAGGGTCTTCATTGAGCAGTTTCGGGTTTTGCGCATTTGATGGGGCTAAGAGGTTTGGGCTTGTGGTCCATACCTTACTGTACATATCCTTCCTGGGTCCTGGGAGGTCCTTGCCACCCCTTGTTGTCTTCCCTACGCCATGAACCCAGAACCTTATATCAAAAGGAAAACTGGGATAATCAGGGCCGGATGGTGGATGGTTGGCAGCTTGCCTAAACCCTACGCAAGCCAAGAACCATGTTAGGGTTGAGGGTTTAGGGGTTTGGGGGCATGGCATGAGGCTTACAGAGGTTGATGTGGATTGAATCTTCATGAGAGATGGGCCCAAGTCCCTGCACAACCTGATACTTGGCGGTTCAGGGTACTTATGACCGTAGTAGAACTGTACTGATAAGCCCCCTGAGCAGACTTGTAGTTGGGGCATATTGGGAGGTTATACGTACCCATATCGTTCGACCGGGATGAGGGTTTAGCGTTTCGGCTTGAGGGTTCAGGAACGTTTGAGATCACATGAAAATGAATGCGCCAGCAGTGAAACTCAGCGAGCGGAAGCACAAAGAGTTGCTCTCCCCTTCGCGACCTAACCCGTAAATCCTCAACCCTGAACAGGTTTCCAACGGAGGGAAGACGGAGAAGCTCAGCTATCCTGTCGTTCATCCTGCCCAGACTCCGGCCTACCTTCCCCATAGCTCATCAGATTTAGGGTTAGGATTCTCAAGGCTTAAAAGATCCAGCTCCGGTGTAAAGCGAAAAAACCCACAACCCTTTTAACCCTGACCCCCGCCCTCGAGCCTACCAACCCAAGGGAACCCTGTAAACCCCTAAGCCCCTAAACCCTAATGCAGAAACTCAACCCCCAACCCTCAACCCTCAACCCTCAACCCTCAACCCTCAACCCGCAACCCTCAACCCTAAACCCTAAACCCTAAACCCTAAACCCTAAACCCTAAACCCTAACGCGTGCGGGTCTCACCATGGCTCGCGGCGCGGCTGGGATGTTTGGCGCCCTCGTCGTCCTGACCATGGCTGCCGCGGCTCCAGTCGAGCGTCGGATTTGGGTTTGGGGTTTAGGGGCGTGGGATTTAGGGTTTTCCGTTTCTTCTTTTCAGAAATATTCAGGTTTGTCTAGAGCTTAGGGTTTCGGACTATAGGGTGTGCAGGTTACCAGGTTTGTTTAGAGTTTAGGAATCTAGGACTGTAGCATGAGTAGGTTTGTTTCGAGTTTGGAGCTTAGGGTCTGTTGAGGGCTTGAAGACTTAGGACATACGGTTGCTAAACCTTAAACCCTAAAACTTCCCACAGCTTCTTCTTCATGCAGCCCAAGAAACAGCCTGCCGCCCCCTTTTGCCCGAGATATGGGGGTTTCCGGAATTCGGGGTACTTTTTTGGGGTCCGTATTGTAAGGGGATACTGCTGTTTGGGGGTCTACATTAGGGATCCCGTATTTTATAAAACTCCCCTAAACCCTAAACCCTAAACCCTAAACCCTAAACCCTAAACCCCAAACCCCAAACCCTAAACCCTAAACCCTAAACCCTAAACTAAGCCTTAAACCCTAACCCTAAACTCCCAGATGTGATGGGAGTTGAGGACTACCCCGGCAAATACGTCATCAAGAATGCGGCCAATGGAAGGACTCCCGACCGCGGCGAGCTGGGAATCACCCTAAGCCCTATAAACTATAAACCCCAAACGCTTTCCTTGCAAGCTGCAAGGCGTACAGAGCCCCGAGCTGAGGAACAGATCTTCATCTAGACTCCTTACCCCTGTCTACGGCCTTAAGGGTGTACTCACAAGCTGCAGTTGTGCGGTCCGGCTGGGGGGCCAGTTTTGAGTTTTGGGGAGAGAGGGCGTTCTCGTCCTTAAGGGTTTCAAAGCACTGTTCGTTCTGCTCAGGGGAAGAACAAGGATAAGAGGAACCCAGGTGAGGCCTGAGAAAAGGTTAGGTGGGTTTAGGGTTTAGGGTTTAGGGTTCAGGGTTTAAAGGGTTTAGAGTTTAGGGTTTAGGGTTTAAGTATCCACTTCTCTACTGGCCTTAACTCCGAAACCCTGCGTGGGCCAAGGCGACTGGGGAACAGCGGGCTGGGATTCTTTGCCACGGCGTATGGGCCCATCACGGAGGAGCAGGGTTTAGGGTTTAGGGTTTAGGATGTAGGGTTTAGGGTTTAGGGGTTTAGGGTTCTGGGGGGTTTTGGGTTTAGGGGTTTGGGGGGGTTAGGGTTAAGGGTTTAGGGCTTCGACGCCCGAAACCCCAAAGCTTGGGTTCCTCCAAGTTTTGGGTTTTGGGTGTCGGCTTAGGATTCAAAGAAAAGGATGCAAGGTTGATGCCGGTTGCCGCTTCGGGCTCGCAAGAGCCTGACGTGCGAGAGGGGGAGAGTCCTAGGTGGGATAAGGGGGACCCTTAAAAGGGAACCCCTTCTTAACCCTCTTCTGGCTCCCTAAACAAGGGACCTTATTCAGAGGGTCCCTAAACCCTAAACCCTAAACCCTAAACCCTAAACCCTAAACCCTAAACCCTAAACCCTAAACCCTAAACCCTAAACCCTAAACCCTAAACCCTAAACCCTAAACCCTAAACCCCAAACCCTAAACCCTAAACCCTAAACCCTAATCCTATCCCCTAGAGAGAGAGAGAGAGAGAGAGAGAGAGAGAGAGAGAGAGAGAGAGAGAGAGAGAGAGAGAGAGAGCCGCTCTCATCAGAGCCGGAGAAGAGAGGGTGTGGGGGGAGGGGGTGGGGAAGCCCTAAACCCTAAACCCTGAACCCTGAACCCTGAACCCTAAACCCTAAACCCTAGCCCTAAACCCTAAACCCCCCCCCCCCTCCCCCAAAAAACAGGAGCACATGTGGAGAATCCATGCTGAAGGGAACAACAGCTTTAGCCTGAGCAACGTCGCAGCTCGGCCGAGCTTGTTGGGCTGCCCCAGCTGTATTTCCAACCCTAAACCCTAAACCCTAAACCCTGAACCCTGAACCCTGAACCCTGAGCCCTGAGCCCTGAACCCTGAACCCTGAACCCTAAACCCTAAACCCTAAACCCCACCTCCCCTAGCACCCTGAAAGGCCCTAGTCGCCGAAAAGCTCCGGCGATTCCAGAGTCCGAGGCTTCTGGCAGTCGCATCCTGGCGCAGACGGGCTTCGACGGGGCGCAGGGCTTCTTTACCGTGGCGGATGGCCCAGTCTACCAGGAGAGGCTTTGAGTAGAGGGTTCCAGGAACCTAAGCGCAGCTTCATGGTCCCTTGCTTCGTAGCTGAATGACCTTTGGCTTTTGTGACCATGCCGGGAGGTTCGTGGGTACTTATACCCCCCCCATTATAAGTACCTAAAACCTGCTTAGAGGACTACGTAGGAGGGGCTTGCAAGTACAGTAGTTGGGCTTGTAAGTACCCTGAACCTCCAAGCAGTCACAAGAAATGCCAGGACCAGAAATGGCATCTCATGATGCAGAGCGATGGTGCCTTCGTCATTGCCAATGCGAAGTCGGGACGAAAGATCTGGGCTGCGGACGAGGCTGCAGCATGGTGACACATAGATGGTTTAGGGTTTAGGGTTTAGGGGTTTAGGGGTGTAGGGGTTTAGGGGTTTAGCGGTTTAGGGTTTAGGGGTTTAGGGGTTTAGGGGTTTAGGGGTCAAGGGGTCAAGGGGTTTAGGGTTTAGGGGTTTAGGGTTTCGGGCCTGTCAAAGCCGTGGACCCAATACCCAACTCTAGGAAGACTAGTAATACTGGTAATCGTCGTTATATAGATAATATTCGTAAGAATAGTAATAACCATACTACCCAGTAGGAAGAGGAAATAACAGGACTAGTAGCAGTAATGGTAATAATCGTAAGAATAGTAATAACAGTGACAATGGCAATAGTAATACGACTCATCGTCAAGATCTTCCCATGGCGACCAACCCCGGCTTGGACGCTCCGGCCCTCAGCCCACACATCCTGAAACCCGGTCAGAACTTAGGATTTCGGGGTCTAGGCCTTAAAGTGTACGTCTAACACGGCTGACTTCTCAGAGACCTGCATGCAGAAAAGGGTTTCAGAAGGCTCGACTTGAGTCTGGTATGCAAGAAAGGGTGTGGGGCTTACACCCCCCTGACGCGCCCCCCCGAAGCGCCAAAACGCGCCCCGCCCGAGCGCAGGGCCGATCAGGCAGCTTCGGCGCCTCCGCCCTGGCCTCCGAGGGCCAAAGCTGGTGGCTGATCAGGCTGCCGCGGGATTTGAGTCCAGCAAGATTTACGGGGTTAGGGTTTAGGGTTTAGGGCTTAGGTCTGAATTCTAGGGCTCTGTTTTGAAATCTGCGGTAGTGCAGTCGGCTTCTTCTGAAAAGGGTTTAGGGTCATCGCATCTTGGTGCAGCACCACGCACGTCATGAGTCCAGGAGGTGGAAGAGTTTGGAGATGTTTTTCTTCAGGGTCCCTCCAATGGTTCTGCCTACATTCCCAGAGGGTCTTGGAGTCGGGGGTCCGGGCGGAGTGGCGCACAGCCTGGAACGCCTTTATGGTTGGGGGAAGGGTTGGGAAGGGAAAGGAGACCAGATCCTGGGTCTGCTTGTTCTAGTTCTAGACGTCTCTCGGCCGGAAGCCGAGGCGAATAAATATTTTGTTTTTGCTGTAAATCGGTTGGCTGAGGAAAGTAGATGTATTGATGTAGTTTGGTATGAACATCCATCACAATGGCACAAAGTTTGGTGGCACCTTGGAAAGCAGCTTTCCAGTTTAGTTCATGAGCTCACAAGGGAAGTTTGGTACGGTACGTTTGTAGGATTATGAAGCTCTCCTCAAGCCCAAGCCTTCAACTCGCAACGCCGAAAGCAAAGGAAACCAAGACCCCGAGCCATGTCCTGATGGGGTTTCAGTGGAATTAGGGTTTAGGGTTTAGGGTTTAGGGTTTAGGGTTTAGGGTTTAGGGTTTAGGGTTCTTGAACTGTCAGTCTGCTCTTGGGCTCGCCCGCCCCTCCCGCGTCTCCTAGCACCCACCAGGTTCTCAGACCCGTTCTTCGGATAACTACATGGTCCCATAGTATGGGCCCTTAAAACGGGACCCCTTATATACCCCCTGTATACCCTATACAATGCAAGGGCCCAATATGTCAGAACCCTTTAAAACAGGTACCATATAAAAAAAACACCCTTAGACCTGTGGTGCAGGCAAGACATCGATGAGTCTCGCTGGCTTCGCGCTGAGCTTGCTGCAGAGCGGCAGAGCCCTTTGGTTGCCGAGGAAGGGCGGGCCGTCTTCAAGTGCTAAAGAGTTTGGAGATGTATGGCTGGTAAGACCGTCGTTTGGGCCGACTCCCGCGATTACCCCCTACCCCACGAGAAAGCTAGCAAAGACCCCGGAGCTCTGAGCAACCCTAAACCCTAAATCCTACACCCTAAACCCTAAATCCTAAACCCTAAACCCTAAACCCGTGTCCTTGCATTCAACCTTTGCTCGCCCGAGGCACGGCGATGCTGGTAGCCAAGGCGCCATGGACATGCAGAGTACTGTAGGGGTCGGAATAATTACTGGTAATATTCCCTTCGTTTAGGGATTTAGGGTTTAGGGTTTAGGGTGAAACCCTGTTCTAGTTATTAAGGCCCCTAGAGTACTTGACAGCGGGTCATTGGGTGTGAGTTTTCGTGAACACGACTCGAGAACTTGCCGAATGAACGAAATCTAAACGTTAGGGGGGTGCATCAATCTGCCCGGCCCGCGTCTACCATTTTAGCTAGGTTGGCCCTTGGAATAGGATCATGTTCAGGAATAAGGAATAATTTTCAGAGGCTTTTAAGGGCCATGGCCATCCTACCTGGCCCTAAACCCTAAACCCTAAACCCCAAACCCTAAACCCTAAACCCTAATTGACACAGTTCTCCGAGGTAGAGGAGCGAGATGCGAAGCTCGAGAATTTCCAGCAGCGGACCGAGGCCGGCGCCGAAATTCGGAAGCTGCGTCGTGCTGAGCTTCACCAGGGGTAGGCTTGAGCACAATTCTTAGTCTTTATTGCCCATAATCCCTCTATGAATCCTTACAAGCCCTGAACCCTAAGCCCTAAACCCTAAACCCTAAACCCTAAACCCTAAACCCTGCCCCAGTCATGGGGTGGCGCAGACAGGCAGGATGCCCCCTGGGCGCTGCGCCGTGGCGCCCGCCGGATCTTGGGCATCTTGGGGCATCCTGGCCCTTCAGTACTTGGAGTAGCCCCGAGGTACCCTTTTCCTAGGGTTTAGGGTTTAGGGTTTAGGGTTTAGGGTTTAGGGTTTAGGGTTAGGCCAGTGGTACCCCTTTCCCCGTTCATCGGTTCAGAGTTCCCTTGTGCCAAAGAAGGGTACCCTAAAAACATTATGGTTATTGGGCTACCAAGAATATTTCTCAGCAAGCCACTCCTTGACATGATAGCCTGCGGGACTGTCTCCAGTGTTGCCCCAAAGAACATCTCAACCCATCGTTGCAGAATCAGTCGGAACTCCCGGGGGCGCCTCTTCACTAGTCACTAGTCTTTCATGAGCCCTTTTCGAAGAGTTGACAGTGCTCACACTATCGGCACCCCAAAGCCCCGAGAGAGCGAGAGAGAGGGAGAGAGAGAGTAGTTGGAGAGACTAAGCCCAACCGTAAGCGCTCCCTAAACCTTGAAAATTGAAACGCTAACCATCTCTCTACAACCCTGAACGGCCCGAAGCCCGACAACCTAGGGTTTAGGGTTTAGGGTTTAGGGTTTAGGGTTTAGGGTTTAGGGTTTAGGGTTTAGGGTTTAGGGTCAAGAGCGCCCACCCCAGGCCTGGGATTGGAGCTCAGCCGATCGGACTCTCTCCCTGTACCTGCTGACAGGCCGGGCTGTGGGACCGTTTCAGGGCTCATAGGGTTTAGGGCTTAGGGTTTAGGGTTTAGGGTTTAGGGTTTAGGGCTAGGGTTTAGGGCCTCGGGCCTCATAGGGAGCTCAGAGAGGGTGTGCCCTTGAACTAAACCCCCTAAACCCTAAACCCTAAACCCTGAAAAAAACCCTAAAAAACCCTAAACCCTAAACCCTAAACCCTAAACCCCTCGGGTTTACCAGAAACCCTGAGGGTTTAAGGTTTAGGGACACTGAACCTTAAAACCCCTTCGGCTTTGGGGTTTAGGGACCCTAAGCCCTCAAAGGTCGAGGGAGTCTAGGGTGGAGGGAGCTTAGGGTTTAGGGTTTAGGGTTTAGGCTGCCGGGCTTAGGGGCTTCACGAAAGATGGGTGAGCGCCAACCCGGCGAGCAGTCCCAGACAAGCCTGCACAAAAGCGTTTAGGTTTAGGGTTGAGGGTTGAGGGTTTAGGGTTTAGGGTTTAGGGGACCAAAAAGGGGAGCGTTTCAGGTGAGAGTGAGGGCTTGTGATTGTGCTTTCGGGGGCTCAGTTTGAGCAAGGTTGGTGTTTAGTCCCTACGAAGCCAGGGCTGAATGATGTTGCCAGCAGCCCACGTGGCATGGGAAGGTTGGGTTTAGGGTTTCTTGTTAGGTTCAGGGTTGAGGGTTTTGGGCTACAAAAAGACACCCCCCCCTAAACCCTAAACCCTAAACCCTAAACGCTAAACCCTAAACCCTAAACCCTAAACCCTAAACCCTAAACCCTCCTTTCCGACTTTCTGAGCAGGCCTGCTGCTTCTGGGCCTGCTGAACATCCACCTCAACCTCCAGCTCCAGAACTCTCAGCTGCATGGATGGGCTTAGGGTTTAGGGTTTAGGGTTTAGGGTTTAGGGTTTAGGGTTTAGGGTTTAGGGTTTAGGGTTTAGGGTTTAGGGTTTAGGGTTTAGGGTTTGGGGGTTAAACTGATTCGAAAGCTTTGCTTGGAGGCTTGCGCACAGTCCCAGCACGCCGTTTCGGAGTCAGGAGCCCTAAACCCTAAACCCTAAGCCCCCAAACCTGTACCCAGGAAAGAGCGGGGCGCCGGTCGAAGGGAGGAGGCCAGGTATGTGGCAGCACCCAGCACCCTCCAACCCGACACGTTAAGCCGCACTCCTCTCATAGTGGAGAAATGGGTGGGGTTGGGGCTTTGGGTTTGCGGGTAGGGATTTGGGGTTTTTGGGGGTTAGGGTTATAGTCCCTGCATATTTATGCCATAACAACCCCCTAAAACCATATTCTAGAAATTACGGCCCCGAAATTATCCTCCTCCATCCTCCCCCCCCCCCCCCCCCCCCACTGGAAAGCACGCCCCCCCCCCCCACTGAGAAGCACGGGCCTGTGTGCTGCAGTGTTGTTATGGCTATATTGTTGTCCTTCTTCTGATGCTTCCTCTTGTGATTACAACCAGGACCGGGAGTAGGCCCCTATTCCTTTTTTTAGGGTCGGGGTTCCCTGATTATCGCGTTAAAATCAGAAAGGGTACGTACCCTTTTATTCCTAGGTTACTCCTTGGTCTAAACAACTGGGGGTTTGGGGGGTTCGACACTTGCGTGCAGGTGGCTAGCGACGCCGTGTCCCCCACTCCAGCATTTTGTGACGCAGGGCCAGGCCGCAAGTCTCTGGCCAGTTTGGGGTTTAGGGTTTAGGATTTAGGGTTTAGGGCGCTCAGACAAGCCTGTGCAAAAAAAGGGGTTGAGGGCCTGTGCATTCCATCCTTCTGTTGCCAGCAGTAAAGGGACCATCTTTCTGGCTTTGGGGTTGAGGGTCCGCCGTTGCAGGCTTCAGGGTTTAAAGTCAATCTTTTCAGGCTTTACGGTAAAACTCCCAAAAGTTGGAACATCCTCATCCCCATACCCCAGAAGGCATAGCAAAGGGAATCCCAGCTCTAGTCATCCTTAAACCATGTTGCACCTTTCCGGAGTTTCCTCTAGTGTAGTTTCATGGGCCTTTATTCTGGCCCCCAACCTCCTTTAAAACCCTTAACCCTAAGCTTTGTGGTCCTTGTTGGGCAACGGTTTTTTTAATTTTCCGGAACCCCTAAGCACATGCCTGCAACGTCGTTGAAAGGGTAGTTGCGTGGGCCCTTAATGTGGCCCCTCGCCTCCTTTAAAGCGTTCTTGCTGCTTTCCTTGCTGAGTTTCTTCCGAAGAGACGGCAGGACATAACACGTATCTTCTACCAGGGTTTCAAGCACTAAACCCTGAACCCTAAACCCTAAGCCTAAACCCTAAACCAGGCTTGGGCCACGACTTCGGGTACCACATTTTGGACACAGATGCTCGGGGCTGAGAGTTGAACTTGGAAGCCACTGTGCCAGAAGCCCCTGGCTCTTAGACGGGAATGAGGGTTTAGGGTTTAGGGTTTAGGGAGATAGGGCCCTCTGTTTTCCCTTTTAAGGGAGTATGTAGGGTACCTCCTTCCCTCATTTCCTACTAAGAACCAGCCAGGAATGCAGGAGCTGAAGTAGGTGCCATTCTCATCCCCTTCGACTCTCTATGCAAGTTTTCCACCTTTTAAGCAAACGATTCCCAAGACATGCCCATTCCAGTTCAGAAAGCTTGGCACTGGATTCTTGGAGAGATGGATTCTTGGAGAGATGAATTCCTGGGTAGGCCCTTGGGGTATTTCACATTTCCCCTTATTGGGTTTAAGACGATCATTCTTCAGGAATATTTTTCAGGGGGTTTTGAGGCCCATCCTGGATTCAGGTGAATGGCACGGCCTTTCGATTCATCAAGATCCAGTGCCCGGGCGTGGAGCACGAGGACGTCAGCGTTGACCTCCTCTTCAATGGATGCCAGGTTTGGGCATGATCTGATGGCTCGACCGAGTACTTCCCCAAAACCCTTTGTTAAGATTGATTTGATAGGACAGCATAGTAGTAGAATACCAGGACAAAAGAAGAATGGAATAAGAAAATCATATAAGGAATACCCCCATCTTAAGCCATCGCCAGGTCCGGCTTTCACGCCGCGCTGCCTGCGGTGTTGCGGCGGCAGCGTGGGCGAAGCGCTTTGAGTTCCCCCATGAGGAGGTCAGCTCTCCCCTCCACCCCAACCCCGCAAGGGGGGTTTAGGGTTTAGGGTTTAGAGGGTTTCACCTTACACATTTTGTATCATGTTCCGTTGGCACCTTGGGCACATCGTGGCTACCTTTTGTTAGATGGGGGTTTACGAAAATAGGGGTACGCTAAACAGACCCATAAATAGTAGGATTCCCTTATAAGAAGGATCTCCCGAAAGGGCACCCCTACTTTCGTCAACACCCAGATGTATTCTGGTCGTTTTGTGCGTTGCCTTCGTATGAGGAGTCGCGTGGGGCCCACATGGTTGAGGCTTCAAAGAAGCGTTCGTCAGCCTTCGGATTGAGGGTTAAGGTTCAGGGTTTAAGGTTTAGGGTTGAGGGTTTAGGGTTTAGGGTTTGGGGAAGTTGATAGGGCTTGCTGGTTGCAGGTGCTATTTCCAAAGCCTTGAGAATCCCGACCCCGACGTCCTCTTACCTTCAGCTGCTCCCCCGCAAAAAAAGGCAGATGCCAAACAAACCCTAAACCCTAAACCCTAAACCCTAAACCCTGAACCCTAAACCCTAAACCCTAAACAAATCATCACAAGAAGGCGAGGTCCACATCCGCAGCCCTTGGCAAAGACGCGTGCGCGCGTGAGCACGTGGGCAAAGCCTGTTACCTTTAATTGCAAATCCTGGAGCTCCGAGTGCCTTGCGTCGTAACCCCTGAACCCTAAACCCCAAACCCCATGACAAGGGAATCTTCGAGTTCCGGGAGGACCAGATGTGCTTGGAGCATGGCCGCTTGGTTATGTGCCTCTTCCTCGGGTTTAGGGTTTAGGGTTTCGGGTTTAGGGTATGCTGAAGCCTACGCCCTAAAACATGAACCCTTAACCGCAAAACTGCAAGAAAACAAGCTTTGTCCTTGGCCCCTGGAAACCTCAGCCCTTATGTAATGTAGACTCCCCTAAGCCCTACACCTCTTGCTGGTTCTTAGTAGGAATGAGGGAATGAGGTATCCTATAGAATCCCTCAAAGGGTTCTCTCTCCCTCTCTCCCTAGACAAAAAAAACAGGTGTTGTACATATACATATGTACGTATATACAGGGGGATATCCCCAATTCCCTCCTTCCCTACTACGAACCAGTAGGACCTTTGTGACAAGGTTTCCTTCATTTGGCCTTCCGCACACATCCCTTCCAGAGCCGGCGAGTTCGCTTCCCACGGCACTTCACGTCGCTGGGCTTGCAGCGTTTTAGGGTTTAGGGTTTGGGGTTTAGAGTTTTTAGGGTTTAGGGTGTTTAGGGTGTTTAGGGATTTAGGGTTTAGGGTTTTTAGAGTTGAAAGGGCTTTGGGTTATTAAGGGTTCAGGGCCTAGGGTTTCACAAGTCCAGATGGAACAGTTCAAGGGCTTCGGGGTTTTGCAGAATGTTTCGGAGCCCTCTTCACCCCAACCCCCGTGCCGCAGAAAGTTCCTCTCAGGAACAAGGTAGCCATGGTGATAGAACCCAGCAACACTGTAGGAAGGGTCTGTGCATCTGCCGCCAAGCCCTCAGAACGCGGGGGGGGAAGTGGAAGTTCCCTTTAATCTGGGCCCTGAATTGGGTTCGCCCTATTTCCTGAACCCTATTTCTAAACCCTATGAGCCCTAAGGCCTAAACCCTAAACCCTAAGCCCTAAGCCCTAACCTTAATTCATCGAAGAGAGAGAGTTCAAACCCAGCCTTGCGGGTACGGCCAGCTATGCGGCAGCGAAAAACCCTAAAAACCCTTTTAGTCCCCTTATACACCCCTCATATAGTTTAGGGTTTAGGGTTTAGGGTTCAAATACCTCATAGAGCTTAATTAAGGGCCTATGCCTTGGGATCATCCCTCTTCTACTAACAGTCCTTAAGAGGGTGATGGTAGCCCCTATGATTTTTTGCCAAGTCACTCTCAGCCCCACGGGGCTTTCGAGAACAATGTTGCGAGTAGCAACGAGCAAAGCTTTTCAAAGCTCGAGGTCAGTTAATTCAGTTCTTCGGTGGCGAATCATGCATCACTTTCCCGGGGGCTTCTGAACGGAAATATGGGTTCCCACAGCGTCATGTAAGCATTGCTTCTGGCTGGTTTCGGACTACATCTCAGCTGAAGTAGGCAGCCCCTATTATAATCCCTGTTGAGGCCTGTTAAAGGGGCAGCATCCCAACCCTAAACCATAAACCCTAAACCCTAAACCCTAAGCCCTAAGCCCTAAACCCTAAACCCCAGACCCTAGGTTGACAGCGGACACGGCGACTCACTGGCCTCAAGCCGAAAATTCACAAGGTTCTCATGCCGACTGGGACCGTTATAATAATAATACGAAGAAAGATAATTTAAAAAAAAAGAGAAAAAACATACACGAAGGGTGTCTGGTTGAGTTTTGCTTCCTTGCCTTTGCGCCAGCTTAGGCTGACGGCGACCGACACGGATGACTGGTGGGACTACCCTGGCTCCTGAGCTGAAGTTGCCTACATCCTAAACCCTAAACGCCAAACCCGAAACCCCAAACCCCAAACCCCAAACCCTAAACCCTAAACCCTAAACCCCAAACCCTAAACCCTAAACCCTAAACCCAGCAAGCGCTAGACATCTAACAGAGGTCATTGGGGTTTGCAAAAAAAAAAACCAGGAAAGCGACAAGCGCCGCCTTGCGCGCCTGCGGCGCCGGAGCTCGGCAAGCCTGGCAAGATCTGCCCAGATGGCAAGGCCGGATCTTGAAAACTTTAGGGTTTAGGGTTCAGGGTTTAGGGTTTGGGGAAACCTAAGCAAGCAGCACGGATTGCACTCTGTTTTGTGGCCATGCTCTTCGGGGCGGCTGGCGCCTTTGGCATCGATCTGCACTCGATTCCCCCTCCCCCCCTCGAAGCATCTACTTACTGTTGGTTTGCAGGGAATGAGGGAATAAGGTATCATATATATATATATATATGCCACTAAAGGGTGTATAGGGGATATATGGTACCTCATTCCCCCGTTCCCTACCAACCAACAGTAAGTCTAGAACCCAACCCTAAACCCTAAACCTTAAACCCTAAACCCTAAACCCTAAACCCTCAATACTAAATATAGTTGCCTGACCGCAAGCTCGGTTAACTTTCTCGCGTTTTAGAGTACCTTGCTTCCTGGGTTCTTGAGTCGCGCGAACTTGCCAACCCTAAAGCCTAAACCCTAAACCCTAAAGCCTAAACCCTAAACCCTAAACCCTAAACCCTAAACCAAAATCAAGCGACCCCAAACACGATGGTTCGGGAAGCCCTGCGGGTTCTTCAACTCCTCACAGGCTTCGGGCGAGGTTGCGTCCTCGACGCTCTTGCAGAGAGCACAGGTGCCGAGCTCGTGGGGATCTTGCGGTGTGCTGCTCCTAGGGTTTAGGGTTTAGGGTTTAGGGTTTAGGGTTTAGGGTTTAGGGTTTAGGGGCCCCAAGGGTGTCGATTCTTCACAGGGTGGTGGTATCACGTTCCCGGGTGGTTAAGAGACTCGCAGCACCAGCTTGTTACCCCCCCCCCCCCCCCCCCCCCCGAGGTTCCTGAACCATGAGTGCCCCACCCCCCAAGTTTCCTGAACCATACTCGCAGAGTACTCCAAAGCAGGACCCGCTCGCAGCAATGATCGCCGGTGGCGAGAAGGTCCTGAGAGGCTAGTTTTCGAACTCCGCCAGTCGGGTAATCCCCTCCTCCTAATATTAAACCTTCCCTATCAACCCCAATATGAAGCACTTGCAAGCTCCTTATGTTGTTATACGTACAGTAATAGGTACAGTTTCAATGCCTTTAGGGTTTCGATGCGGATGGTCATCAATGACTCCGGTCCTCACACTTCAGGTCGTGGCTGCTTAGGGCTTAAGGAGAAGGGCTGGGGCACGTTTGCCGCCAGTCGTCGGTGCCTTCCCCTGCCCCCGTGGGCCATCAAAGCAACATGGCCCCAGGAGGTGGTCGTGAAGGACTGTGTGTGCAGCATAGGGCGACGTCCGCACCCTGACAAGATCTCCATGGAGAGTTGGCGGTGGTCTTCAAGTCTAGGCGAACCATGGGAACCCCTCGAATCTGCAAAGAGTCTACCCTCCAAGCCGAGATCCGTCAACTGCTAACCCTTTAAGCCCCCGAAAATGGGCGGCCTCCGCAAGTAGTCGTTGACGATATCAAGCAAGGTTTGGTTGCGCAAGAATACGGTGGTTATTGGATATTCTCGGACAGGGTTGGTCTTGGTGTGGATAGGCTTGGTGTTGGTATGAAAGTGTTTAGTGGGGCCAGAATGGGTTTGTCCCAGTGTGAGCGATGAAGTCCCTAAACCCCAAACCCTAAACCCTAAACCGCCTAAACCCTAAACCCTAAACCCTTGGCCACAGCCGTTCCTTGCGGGGTGGCGCAGCGCCCTGCGTCAAGGCCAGGGAACAGAGGGACCCAGACCTGCTCCTCCAAACCTTTAGGAGGTTTTAGTTTTACGGTAGAAGTGCTTGGGGTTTAGGGTTTAGGGTTTAGGGTTTAGGGTTTAGGGTTTTGGATTTTTCAGATGAAGGGCCAAGGGTTCGTATATCTATGGCGAAAGCGCTTCATCAATATCAGCTGGGCTCCAACTGGGCCCAGCCGGATTGTAGATTCTAGATCTCAACCCTAAACCCTAGACCTTAGACCCTAAACCCTAAACCCTAAACCCTAAACCCTGAACCCTCAGAATCTTTCAAGATCCGAAGTCTGGGTCCCTCCTGTGTCCCTCGTACCTTGAGCCTTGCCCGGACAATGCCTCTCAGCGTCTCGGCCAAAAATCAGGGTTTAGGGTTTAAATAGTGCGATAAGGTGTGTGAAAAAGTGAGTCGGGTGAGCCCCAAGCCTCCCACACACATGTGGAGGCTGCAACGTTCCACACCAAGCCAGCGACTTGGGGATGTCCCCCCTTATCTTAACAGTCCTTAGTAGGATTACCACACCCCTGTATCAGAATCCCAAAGCCCTAAACCCTAAACCCTAAACCCTATACCCTAAACCCCATTAAGGACTGTTCGTGTTCGGCGAAACCCTCCAAGCCCTAATGACTTAGGAGCCCAATCGGTGGACTTTAATACTTTGGGTATACTAAACCCCTACGAAAAGAAAAGTTTAGACTTTTTAAAGCCAGGGTATTGGGCAAAAAAACCCCAAGCCCTAAACCCTAAACCCTAAGCCCCATGTAGGGCCATCAGAGTTCATCTTCCTTGGCCCAGGGAACGGGCGGTTGAGGACGCCGCGGGCCCAGCGGCCACGAGATTACTTGGGGAGGTTCATGGGAGGGGATGTTGCTTGTGGTTTTAGATTGGGGGTTTTTGTTGTTGTGGCTGGTTATGTGCCTGCTTGAGTCCCTACTTAATTCCTGTCTATGTGTTTTTTCCTAGTGTCATCATATACCCGAAGCCCTACTGCCGGTGCATGCCCCCCCCCCCCCCCCCAGCGCCAAGGTGGACGTCTACCGCAAAGCGGCTCCCGAGGTGTTGCCTTAGGGGCGGTGGGAGGGGGGGGGGGGCCTTTTTGTTTTTGACGGAGGTTTTCTGGTTTTGGGTTTCAGGGTGCTCGAGAGCTTTAGGGGTTTCAGGTTTCTTGGGCTGCCTAAGTTTCCTCATGTTTAGAGAGACTGATGACGCCGCCCTCGGTCCGCGCATCAAAAACCCGTTGGTGTCACAGAGGCTTTTCGCAGTTTCGGGGGGCGTTGTGTCCAAGCTGACCTTAGTATGGTCCCTTCCTCCGCTAAAGGGTTCTGAAGTATAGCCTTCTTTTCTTGGTGCAGGACATCGACGAGCAGTGCTTTGCGTACTGCAAAGAGGCGTGCGCACAAAGCCCCCCAGCCCCACCTCAGCCCTGAAACCTCAGTCCTGAACCCTAACCCTAAACCCAAAAACCAAAACCCCAGCCCTAAACCCTAAACCCTAAGCCCTAAACCCTAAACCTGCCGGTTCGGGGGGCCGGGGGACTCCTCTTGGTTCATGGGACTGCTTTAGGGGGTTTCGGGCTTAGGGTTTAGGATTTAGGTCCTACTAGTACTAGTTGCATTCTTAGCTGGGTCAGCCTTTCACTTAGGGGGACTGCCAGTAGAACTTCTAAACCTCTGGTACTTGCAAGTTTTTTCGTAAGTCCCATGAGCCAAACTCCAAGCAACCCTAAACCGTAGAGGCTTCCAAACATTGTATCTCCTTGTATTCTACACATACATGTATACACATATGTATACCCTTCATGGTACATGTTTCGACTTCTAACTCTAAACCCTAACCCTACTCCCCATCGCGGCGTCCACTCCTGAAGGCCGTGTCTCGGGTGCAGGTCCGATACCAGGTACAAGAGGCCCAGGGTTTCGGAGGTCTGGGGTGTTCGGGAAAATGGCACTGCAGTCCATCCTCAACAAAAGGGTCTTAAGGTTCACAGCTTCAGCAATTTCGTGCTTCGGCTCTGAGATTTTGGACTTGAGAGTCGTTTGAGGATTTAGGGTTTAGGCTTTGAAGCGGCAAAGGCCATCGGACTGGCTTCTGGGATCGTTGCCTAAGTTGGTTTGGGGGATGAGAAGTCAATTATGCAACCACTACATGCAACGCATGTGCGGTGGTCCAAAATTTGGCAGCTGATGGGCGGAGACTCAGAATCTTAAACAAGTCTGTGGGCCTCACCCGAAACATGCCCGAATGTGAACCCCCCCCTCACCACCAATGACATCCAATGACGAGCATGAACTCAATCTCCTTCACCTGAAAGTCTGAACCTCAAAAGCTCCCCTCAACACCGAAGGTTTTTCAAGACTCTGCTTGAATATTTGCCACAAAAAGAACGTCCGAAGCCCGCCTCCTCCCCGCCCCACCCCCCCCACCCCAAACCCGAAGCCCTGTTGGGTACGTGACAGCTACAACTAGGGGACTCTAGAATGTATGCTCGTACCACAAAGCCCACCACCACACCCATAGGCAAAACACAAGCATACAAATAGCGGAGTTCAGGTTAAAGAGTTTAGGGTTGTGTGGTTTAGGATTCCGGAGCTTCAGGGCAATGAGGGTTCAAGGGGTAGGTGTTGGGGTTCTCGACTTTAGGACGATTCAAGGGCTTTATGTGTGGAAGAGCCACCGCCAAAGTGGACTTTCGTTCAGCTAGGCAGGACCTAAAGCCTTTTCGTGCGAGTGCCCGAGAGTCGACACCCGAAACCCTAAACCCTAAACCCTAACATCCTAAAGAACCCCAAATCCCAAACCCCAACATCCTCAAGAACCCTATACCCTAAACCCTAACATCCTAAAGAACCCTAAGCCCCAAACCCTAACATCCTAAAGAACCCTAAAAGCCCTGAAACTCTAACATCCCAAGCCCTAAACCCTAAACCCTAACCCTCAACCCTCAACCCTCAACCCTCAACCCTCAACCCTAACCCCTAAACCCTAAAGACTCCTCCCTGCCCAGGGCCCCAAGTTCGACGAGCAGGGCTTCTCCGCGAAGGTTGGCGACGAGTTGCTGGCCTTCAAACTCGACAGGCTGGCGGGTCGCGTGGGTAAGGGGTTTAGGGTTTAGGGTGTAGGGTTTAGGGTTTAGGGTTTAGGGTTGGGAGGGTTGTGAGGGTTTTGGGGGGTAGGGACTTTAGGGTTTTAGGGTTTTGGGCCACGCGTGTCTTGGTTTGAGCTTGGCAAGTGCCTGGCGATCTACCGCAAAAGGGCTTTAAGGTTTTTAAGGGTTTTCAGGCCTTTAGGGTTTAGGGTGGGGTTGGGGGACACAGGGCAGGTCGTTTGCTAGGGGGTCCTGCTCTAGTTTAGATATTTTTGTTCGTGTGTGTTCGTTGGAGGGGCAACGCAGGACGTCTTCCAAAGGCACGCATCTGGCAACCAGCAACTGCGCTGGATAGAGGGTTGCGAGAGACTTACATTACGTTAGTTGTTCTGTGTCGTGTTCTAGTATCTGGCTCTGCTCTTTCTGGCCTGGCTTGTGACTTACATTTGGAACCGTCTGTGATGCTGTTGAGAGCTCCGCAGCAGGTAAATAGTCAATCCAAACCTCTTTGCCGAGCTAGCCCGAGACCATCTGTCCAGTCGAATGAGCTGTCAACACAGTATAAACCCTACAAACCCTATAAACCCTATAAACCCCATAATCCCTATAAACCCTATAAACCCTATAGACCCAAAACCATATAGCTATATTCCCTATAAACCCTTTTTTCTGTACCCTATAAACACTATACCCCCTACACCCGAAAGCCCTCTACCCCCACAAGCCCTGCCTTGCTGCTGTGGCCATTCGGAACCCAGCGACTCCAATACCCCTTAATCAGTTCCTGCATTGAAAATAGGGTTCTTATATGGTTTGAGAAATATTCCTAAACCAAGGGGGTATTGGAGCACGCGGGGTCAGAAAAGGGGTATTGGAGTCTCTGGGAAGGACGTGCCCTTTGACGCCCATCGCTGTGTCTCAGCTGAGTGAGCAGCCAGGACCGGCACAGGCCGCCCTGACTTTTTCAGGGTTTAGATGGGTTGAGTTTAGGGTTTAGGGTTTAGGGTTTATAGGGTTTAGGGTTTAGGGTGGTTTAGGGTTTAGGTGTACAATGCTCCTATTGCGTCATTCCTCGAACCCTCCATAAAGTAGAACTCCCAAATAGTACCCCTGTACTACTATTCGGCCATTCTTAGGAACCCGGAGTTCGTTTG